CCATCCGAAATCACCCTGAGGCCCCTGTGACCTTAACCAAAAGTACAAACAAGTCATATACTACTGTTCAAACTTATACCAACCTTCGGAACACTCAAAATGACATTGAATCATCAAAACACCCTCAGATTCAAGCCTAAGATTTCCAAATCTTCCAAATTCTGCAAATGATCAAAAAGTCTATCAAACCTCACCCGAGTGACTTGAAATTTTGCACACACGTCACAATTGACACAATGGACCAACTATAACTTCCGAAATTCCATTCCGACAACGATATCAAAATTTCTACTACCAACCGGAAAACGCTAAAATTTCACTTTCGCCAATTCAAGCCTAAATCTACCACGGACCTCCAAAATACATTCTGATCACGCTCCTAAGTCCCAAATCACCTCACGAAGCTATCCGAACCATAAAAACTAAGTCCTGAGATCATTTACTCATAAGTCAACTTCTCGTTGACTTTTTTTAACTAAAAGACCAATTTAAGAGACTAAAGGTCTCATTTCTCTCTATAATTATTCCGAAGCCGAGCCAACCAACCCAACATAAAAGAGCTGAACCACACAAAAATGAAGCAAAAATGGGGGAAACGGGACTAAAACTCTCGGAACGACCGATCGGATCGTTACAATTAGACCTCGAGGAAGAAGGGATAAATGATATTGATGGTTGTGACAGATAACATTTTACTCATCTTAATGTTGAAAGGAGCAACGAAGTGATAATCTACAAAATGTGGATTCTATTATGTTCCTGAGCCATCACTGAGAAGACGAAAATCAATTGATGGTATTGGCACTGGCAATCAAGTAAAAAAAAGTAAGAAAAAATCTAGTGCAACATCAATGAAAGAGGAAATACACTCTCTGATAGAGTTTATGTCTAGTAAAAGAACTGCTACATCTCCTGCAGAAGATGAATTCACCGTCGAGAAGTGTATTGACATGTTGGAAAAGATTTCTAATATTGTTGCTGGGAGTGGAATTTACAACTATTCTATGAATACGTTTCTTAAGAAAGATGACAAATATTTTTGAGGGTGCCTACCAATGACGCTAAAAAGTCTTGGCTGGAGTTTAACTATGAGATGTAACTTAAGAAAAGTGGTTAATGTGTCGTTGTGCTTAAATATTTTTATTAATTTATGTTTGAAGATTGTGTTTGTGATGCCATTGGAATTTTTTGGTTTGTTTTTATTAGAAAAGTAAGAATGTGATGCCACTGGAATCTTTTGGTTTGTGTTTATTAGAATGTAATGTGTGATTCCATCTCGCTGAGAATCAGTTTAGTATTAATGGAATATTTTCTTTTTCTTTTTTAAGTGATAGAATCTTTTTTGTGTGATGGAATCAGTTTGGTATTGATGTAGTCTTTTTTGTGTGATTCCACCTGTCAACTTGATCACTATCAGTTAATTATCACTTCAAAATGTTCAAGATTGAGTACAAAAGTGATCCACTATTAGCATTTAGTGCCAAACTTCTCTTGTATCTGCTAATGAATCTGTATACCAAATGTTATATTTTAAATTATTAATTTGCGTTCGAAATTTTTATTTTCAGTTAAATAGAGAGTTGGGATATTAGCAATTTGATAGATCCCTATCCAGGTGATTTGCTAGATGATGATAATAAAGAGGAACTAGAGAAAATTCGGAGGGAGCAAGATGACAAGGAATATATGGCTTTATGTCAAATAACAGGTAAATGTATTTTGATATACTACGAAAAATACCTATGAAAGTAACCTTGTCATACATCTAGTCGCTCGAGAAATATGTTTATTCAAGAGATATTACGAGGAAACAAGACTCATTGTTATGAAAATTTTAGATCGAGGAAATCAGTGTTTCTTGATCTAGCCAATGACTAAACTAAAAAATATGGGCTTAAACCCACGCGTGGAATGTCTATACACGAGATGTTAGGCATGTTCTTGATGACTTGTGCACGTGGAGCTGGAAACCGATTAATACAAGAGGTCTTTCAACACTCAGGAGAAACTATTCATAGACACTTTCATAGTGTTTTGAAAGCTATTTGTCAACTTGCAAGAGATATTATTAGGCCACATTTACATTATAACGATATTGCAGGAGCTCACAAGCCATGTAACAGATGATATCTTCCTTTCTTTAAAGTAAGAACAACTATTACACAACTATATTTTATTAAACTTATAACTGAATTTCTCTCACTATAACTAACTTAACTTAAATTTATACATGTATATGTTTGTAGGATTGTATTGGAGCACTTGATGGCACACATGTTAAAGCAAGATTATCGCAAGGTCAAGAGATACCATATATTGGACATAAGGGTTATCCAACTCAAAATATTCTTGTTGTTGTAGACTTCAATATGTGTTTTACATTTGCATGAGTTGGGTGGGAAGGAGCAGCTCATGGTAGTCATATATTTGGTGAGGTTCATTCGTAGACTAGAACTCAATTTTTCACGTCCTAGAAACAAGTATTATCTAGTTGATGTAGAATATCATTACATAAAGGAATATATGTCTCCATATAAAGGAGATAATGTGAGATACCACCTAGCACAATTTCACGAAATTGCGAGAACCAAGAGGACGAATTGAAGAATTTAACTATTTGCATTTTTCTTATAGAAATATAGTAGAGCACGCATTTGGGGTTTGGAAAGCAAGGTGGTCTATTTTGCGAGACACGCCTTTTTATCATATTGACATTCAAAGAGACATCGTACTTGCTATTATATCCATTCACAACTATATTAGAAAAAATGCAATGTCGATAATGTATTCCGAGCATATGAGAAAGAGAGATATGTTTCATCTATTGATTCTGATATTGGTACATCTTCAAGAGATAATAATAATATAAATACAAAAAATGTAGAAGAACAAAGTGATCTCCTTTTGATGGGCCTTCGTGATTTGATTGCTAATGAAATTTGTAAAGTTTGATGCTGTAATTATATGAATATTGTATTTGATTCAATTTAAAAATATATTTGAAGTGTTAGCTTTAACTTATGAGATGCTTTAGGGGTCTAAGGAGAGGTATACGTCAATTAACAAGAGCTTAAGTTTCTTTACGTTCAAAAGTTAGTGGAAACAAAAGGAATGAATTCCTGTTCTTTGAAGCTTCCTGTGATGACGAAAGAAGATGCCCCCTCTGCTGTTTCGTTCAGTTCTCTCTCTTGCAATTGAAAATGTCTAGATATAAAGCAAATATAAAATTCATGTGTCTACAGATCTGATTGAGTTTTGGTCAAAACAATATGAATGAGAAAAGTTTGCCAAGAAGTTAGAATGCATCATTTTTGTTGTTTCTTTTTCTTATTTATGGAGGATAATGAGCTCGTTTCATTTTTATGAAAGTTTACTTAATTGAGAGTGGTGAAAAATGAGCTTCAAGAATTATATTTATAAAAATTATCTAGAGTAATCAATTAAATTGAAATTAAATTAAAATATATAATATTTTTTATTTGTATTAATTCATAATTAAATATATTGTAGTAATCAGCTCCTTTATAATGCTAACAACTTTAAGGATATTTCTGTCTTTTAACAGAAAAAGTGCTTATAATTTTTTTTTAAAGTTTCAACACTTTTATCCAAGTGCGTAACTGCTTATTTATAAAATAAGCTCAAGCACTTAAAAGCTGCAAGTGCTCCAGCTAATTCAAACGGGCTCTAAATCACTGTGTGACTACATGGTCATGATTGCAATATTTGATTTAGCTATCGTCATGCTTTATGTGTTGAACACCCATCTGCATTTTTATGTTATTGTCATGTCCTTGTGCACTTTGTTGAGTTGTGAGCTTATATCTTTGATGAAACTTTGGTATTACTGTTTTGTGATAATTTTGACAAAATAAGGGTAGTGATATGCATATGTGACGAAATAAAGAGGGTATTTTATTGTTATGTGCACATGCAACAAAATGAGGATGACATTTTTGATGATGTTATGTGATGATTTGGGGGTATCTTTCTTGATGTTGTTTATATGTTGCAACGAGGTTGATATTCTGATCATATATATTTTTTTCAAAAACTCCGTCTTGTATTTTTAATGAGTTGTTATTTGAATTTGACATGCTATCACATGCCCCCATTTCTATTGGATGATTTGGTGACAAAAAATGAATTCTTCTATGATTAGTTGTTATCACATGTTCTAACGGGATTATTGATGTTATTTTCCATTTCATATTATGTGGTCAGTTATTGATACATTACACATGTTATTTGACTAGTGAGTATTATATGATTTGAACCTAGTCATTACTTCACAGAGGTTAGACTTGATACTTAATGAGTACCGATCGTGATGTACTCATATGACACTTCTTCACATTTTTGTGCAGATCCAGGTGTTGGAGGCAGCGAATCTCGAGAGTGAGAGCTTGCATCGGTCGTGAGGATGCAAGGGAGAGTTATACGCTGTCGTAGTCCCTTGGAGTTTCATCCTTTATGTTGATACTAATCTTGTTTTCGAAAATTATTGTATTTTGAATACTGTGTATGTATTCAGTTAGAGCTCGTGACACTGTACTACCTAATTCTAAGGAGATGTTGAGTCTAGTCGTTTCGGCTTGTGTTAACTCTATTTTGGCTTTTATATTAAACTCTGCCTTATTATATCATGTTTTATTAATTTAACGTTGTCAAGTGATATGTTGCCTAGTCTTAGAGTTTAGGCGCTATCACGACCCCTATGGCAGGATTTGGGTCGCGACAAAAATAGTACTTAATATATTTGAAAAAATAAAAATAAAGGAGAATTAGAAAAGTTAGACTAGTTTGTAATAAAAATAATTCCCCTCGATTACTTTCAATTTCGCAATTACACACACTTATAATTCTTAGGTGGCTTTCCAAACATTCGAAACAAAGATAGGGGGCTACATTTAAAATACTAAAACTAAAAGGACTAATCTGTAGATAGGTCTTTACGAAATTGTATAAAGTCCAGAATTCTTCCCCAATTCACCTTCGCAAATCAATCGACCAATTTCTCATCCTTGGAAACCCTAGTTCCGACGCCATATAGCTTATTCCTTTGGCTATTCTCTTCAGTTTTCCGTTCGATTTTCTTCGAGATTCAACAGATTATCCGATGAGTTCATCGTGAGCGAAGATGAATTGGCGTTTTCCGGTAGAGAAATAGAGAAAATCTCTCTCCACGGCTTTCTTCCGTCGAAGAATTTGCGGTCGCTTTTCGCCGATTGGATAAAATTCAGTCGATCCGAAATAAGCTGACGGTTTACAGCTCAGCATCAGCTAAGAGAGACGTCCAGAGTGCAAAAGAAGCCGATTTTTGTGCTATTTGATAGATCCGATCGAGATCGTCGCAGTCGAAGGAGTAGCATAGCAGCGATTTATTAAATTTTTGTTAATAAGCCCTAAACTACTGCTTCTGAGTGAAGCTTTGAGGATTAATTTCGTCACGGAAGGATGTTCAACTGATCTGTTGAAGGAATTTGGTTTGACTGATTTTATCTTGAGTTATTGAAGAGAAGTTGTGAGATAGAAAAAAAGAGAGCTGTTTTTAGTTTTTTTGTACTTTATATATCAGTTTTATTTTAGTTCAATATCAGGCCTATTATAATTTTTTTGATTTTGGCCTTTTTGTTGTTGTTGTTATTGATTTGTTTGAGGAAAAAAAGGAATTTTAAGGAAAAAAAAGAGTTATGGCAGTTTATTTTAAGTTTAAAAGTGCAAAAGATTATGATTCAATAGCAATTGACGGTCACTTTATTACTGTTGGGAATTTGAAAGAAAAAATATTTGAATCCAAGCATCTAGGCAGGGGTACAGATTTTGACCTCGTTGTCACCAACGCCCAGTCTAACGAAGGTTCGTTACCTTCCAATTGAGTCGTCATTTTCGTGCATTCCCTAGTTGCATTCCCAATCGTATTGCCCAAGCTATTGTGTGACATTGATTTGGGGTCTATCAATATATTTAGTTTCTCTAGAATTTGGAATGTGCTGCTTATATTCAAAGCATTTTTCAAAAGAAAAAAGTGGCTTTTATTAAGTAAAAAAAGATTACAGTGATTTTAATTTTATTTTTGGAAGGATGATGATGCATAAACTCTTTCAAGAACATATACACTGTGAAAATGACTGATTGCAATTTTCATTCTCTAGGGGGGTATACAATTTCTGTTATCTTATCTTAATGGATTTCTTTTACATAATTATAGGGCAAGCTCTATTTTGAATTAAAGGGAGAGTGGTCTTTTTAGTGTTTTCATAGAGGAAATCCTGTATTCAGCACTCCTGAGTTTCTGGACTTGTTTGAGTTTTCTTTTGTATAATTTTTGTACAAGTCCAGCTTCTTTTTGTACTTCTTCAGTACTCCCTTTGTATTGCTATTTGTCAATAAAATTAATTTCGTATTTAAAAAAATTGTTCTAACGTTAGGGCTCATAACAATAAGCTGGTAGCATACCGTCCAGTATAGCATTTACCTTGAGACTTGGTTTTTCCATAATAGTCTTTGAGGAGCTTTAAACGATACAACTATGTATTGTGCTACCCGAGACAAAAGAAATTATGTAAGGAGCCTATTTCACTCAAGGTTTATGTCACATTGCAACACTCAGGGTCAAGTTGATCCTCCATGAGGAACTGCAGTGCTTGACAAATAGTTTGTTTAGACTAAGGGGCTTTAATGGTGGATCATGCCATTTGGAATTGAATGCATAACTTGTATTTCCATTCATATGTATTGTGAACTCTACAGGGCTTTATGTGCTTGTGTTTTTCTTTTTGCAATTTCAGAATATCTTGATGAGGACACCTTGATCCCCAAAAATACTAGTGTTTTGATTCGTCGTGTTCCTGGACGACCTCGCATGCCCATAGTAACTGCACCTGTAGCAGAACCAGACGAGTATTGTCTTGATCCTTTTGATTCTCATCTGTTATTTAGATTGCTTTATCTTTAAAACTTCAAAATCTGTGGAAGAAAGAGAGTTGACCTGGGTTGGTACCTAAGAAATGCGCAGGTATCTCTTTTATAGGAGCTGGTGGTGGGGTGTTATGGGTTGTTTACTAAATCTCAAGATCCTTTTTCATGGTTTTTTCCTTTCCCTGGGAACACCGACCCCAACTTCTTTGGGACTGAGGCATAGTTGTTGTTTTCCTTCCCTTGGAAGGTTGTTGAAAGGTGGTGGGTATAGACCTTTGCAATGTGTGGAAGGTGGTTGAAAGGGGATGGGGTATAGGGGAGAATCGATGAGAAGGCTGATGCTGTCATTTGCATTGTGTTGAATATGGTGTTCATAGTTTGTCCCTCCCCTCTTCCGCACAAGGTGGAAGTGTTGTTAATCATAGGTCCTTATACTGCTTTCAGTCTTTTGGGCATTGCCATAATAGCGATATTTATATGACCGAAATGTCCTTTCTGCAGGCCCAAAGTAGAATACCAATCTGAGGAGGCTCAAACAGTAAAAAGTAGTTATCTGGGAGGGGAGTCATCTGCCACCAAATATGTAAGCATCCATAGCACTATGCTGTAGGAGAGTCTTGGTGTTTTTAGTAATGACAACATGTGGTCTTAACCATGTTGATATATTCATGTTCATTGTGTAGCCTGAAGATCTAGATTGGGATGAATTTGGGAATGATTTGTACGCTATTCCTGAAGCAACGCCAGTTCAGTCAAGCAACCAAGTGCAGGATGCTCCTCCTCCAAGCAAAGCTGACGAGGAGAGTAAGATCAAAGCTTTAATTGACACTCCAGCGTTGGATTGGCAGAGGTGAGAAAGCCTCCTATTTCTTCTTTTGTAAATGTAAATGCAGTCTGGAGAGTGCTTATTGCATTAGCTGTTCCTTTTTCTCTAATTTGGAATGACACTGGTTTGAAATGGAGACTTCACAACTTGTGTAGTTCTCCCCTTATATATAAATTTTTTTACCGTTATCCCAAAAAAAAAAGGTTCTGATGATCTTTAAGTTGATGCAGTCAACCCTCTGATGGCTTTGGTGCTGGTAGAGGTTATGGACGAGGTCCAGGTGGAAGAATGATGGGTGGACGTGGTGGACGAGGCTTTGGTAATACGCTTTTTTTCTTGTCCTGTTGATCTACTATGAATCTTCCCATCTTTACCGGGTTGAAGGGCTTTGTCTATTTTCCGTTTGCTAACTTGAAATATCAGTCTTTTCATGCCGTTATTTGATAAGAACTACTACGATCTCAATCTCAAGCTAATTGAGGGCGGCTATATGAATGCTCACCATCCAAGTTGGTCCATTTAAGTCCATCTCAGTCAGTCCACCTGCCTTCATTTCATTCTTTTCTGAAATTTAATGACAAAAAAACTCATAAAGTTAATTGTGGAATTGTAGGTTGAAAAAATTTAAGAACCTTGTGGTTAAGTTCTTATGACTTGCCATCCTGGTTGAATAATTGTCATAAGTATGTAGGAGTATTAAATTTTCATGTTGCTACTGCTAAGATGAATTGCTGACTGTGATTGAATTCGTTGGCTGTCATATTTTCATGCTTGAGCTCTCAAACTGGATGCTACTCTTCCAATTTTTCAGGTTGGGGTGGATTGGAACGGAAAACACCACCACCGGGCTATGTATGCCATCGTTGTAAGGTGCCTGGTATGTTTCTTATGTTTCATCCATCTTCTGGTCATTGTCTTAGAAGTTTGTGATTAGCATAGTCAATGTGTTAAGTGAGTCGCTGTGAACCAATTATGACATAAATTGTTTCAGGGCATTTCATCCAGCACTGCCCAACAAATGGTGACCCAAATTATGACATTAAGAAAGTGAAACCTCCAACTGGCATTCCAAAGTCCATGTTGATGGCAACCCCAGATGGTTCATATGCTTTACCAAGTGGTGCTGTTGCAGTTTTAAAGCCCAATGAGTAAGATTTCCTGTCATAGGTATTGTTGAATGCTTGCTTGTAACAAGAATGTGTATGACTAGCCACTTGTTGTAGGGCTGCTTTTGATAGAGAAGTTGAAGGGATGCCTTCTATACGCTCCGTTGGTGATCTTCCACCAGAACTTCATTGTCCCTTGTGTAAAGAAGTAATGAAAGATGCGGTGCTAACAAGCAAGTGTTGTTTTACGAGTTTCTGCGATAAATGTAAGGAGCTTGCTGTTTAATTGGATCATAGTGTTGTTTAAAGAGTTTTTGCTAAAAATGTCAGTAGCTTGGTGTGTAATATGAAGCTAGTTTTGTTGCTGCTACGATGAATTTAAGGAGTTGTTTGTTCAATTTTAATGTGTCCTATATTCTTGAATTTTGAATTGATCTCAAGGGTTATCCGCAGGCATAAGGGATTATATCATCTCAAAGTTGATGTGCATCTGTGGGGCCACAAGTATACTTGCTGATGACCTGTTGCCTAACAAGACTTTGAGGGATACAATAAATAGAATACTGGAATCAAATAATAGCAGTGCAGAGCATGGGGGTAGTGCTCTTCAAGTTCAAGGTTGGTACTGGTTTTAACTCTCTGAACCGTTCTCTTGCTCAAGTCCATTATCATTTTGATTTTCAATGGCTTACATCTTGTCTTTGTTATCACATGTTCCAGATATGGAGTCAGCACGCAATCTCCCACCTAAGATTCCATCTCCTTCACAATCTGCAGCTTCAAGGGGAGAGCTGTTGCCACCACCTTCTCATAAGGAGGAAACTTCTAAAGTCCAGGAGACTGCTGAGGAGGGTAAGAATGGCAGTGCACCACAGCAAATGGTGGAGAGAGGCAGGACTTCGAAGGTTGCAGATATTTCTGAAGCCACACATGAGTCAGTTAGTGTTAAAGAACCTGCATCCCAGGGAAGTGCTCCATTGGCTGATGAAGAAGTTCAACAAAAGCATGTAGCTGCGGAGGCAGGTAATGATGCTCTTTTGTTCACTTTTTTGGCCTCGTAAGTCATTGGTTGTATCTTACCGAGCAGCCTAGAGGAGATTCTTGGTTTCATATATTCCTTGGATGAGTTCTCATCAATTTCTATTTTTTTTTTCAGCAAAGAAAAAGAAGAAGAAGAAAGCACGCCTGCCATTGAACCGTATGCACATTTCCCTTCCTGTTGTGCACGGATCGATATATCTGTTAGTTCTTTTTGGAATAGAGCTTCGATTATTATGTCTGCAATCTTGATGGATCTGTTCCCTGATTTACTTGATGCCCTTGCAGCTGCTGTTGCGGAGATGCAGTGGAGAGCTGCTCAAGATCATCTCGCTGCTGAGAATTACATGATGTCCATGGGTCCTTCTGCGTATAATAATCCTTATTGGACAGGCATGCAACCTGGACTAGATGGGTTTGCAGCCCCTTATCATGGTGCCATGCCGTACAATCCTTATGGGTTTGGCCCTCTAGATGTTCCATTTGTCCCTCCTGTCTTACCACAAGATCCATTTGGTGGACAAGGTTTTATGTTGCCTTTCGGTCCTCCAATGCAGAGGTACAACTTGTGTTGCCTTTTATCCTGAATTTCTATCCTAATCTCTGATCAAGTGTTTACACATGTTCCTAACCCCTTCTCACAGTTTTTGGTAATGGATATTCAGTCTGGTTCTGATGTTGTAGTTTAATTACTTTCATGTTCATGTATCTATATGTGTCGGCTCCTATGAGATTTGGATTACCTGACTGGTTTAAAAATGACCACCAAATTTTAGGGATCTTGCAGCAGAGTTTGGGATGGGATTTAATGCTGGCCCACCAATCATGAGCAGAGAAGAGTTCGAGGCTAGAAAGGCTGATCTGAAAAGGAAGCGTGAGATCGAGAGACGGGGAGAGAGGTAATTTAACCTACCTGGTTTTCTGTTCCTGTTAATTCACAGCACAATATGGTGCTATTTCCGTTGGTGATGTTAAAATCACATCAAATGATCTGAGCACTGCGTATTGAGGTTTTCCAAAGAATGTTCATGCCTTAATTTCATGGCATCCCATTATGGAGCTATTTTGGTGTGTGATATCAAAATTTTCTTAAATGCTGAGTTTTGAATATTGAGGTTTTTGCAGTATGTGTGCGCTTTAAGTATCTCTGTCCAACTTAATTTTCTCTACTTGAAGGCATGCTGAAATCAGGCACAATCTAATTATATCCTCATATTTTGTCCTCTTTGGTTTGTTTTTATTGTCAAGAGTCATTATCTATTATGCTTCTACTTTTTGACGCACTTTCAATGAATTTAGCAATATCTTGTGTTATATCCAGCAGGGAGTTCTCTAAAGACAGGGAACATGCAAGGGAAGTTGGCAGCGGTGCTGATGGTCCTTCCNAAAAAAAGCAGTCTCAGAGATTGAATTTCTAGCATCTCTTTTCTAATAGTATTAAGTACAGGACACACACTCTGGACTACCTTAATATGGGGTTCTGGAGAATTAAGATTATAGTTTGCCCATTGTGCTGGAAGGGAATATACGATTTCCTAACCCTAGTTGGTGCTCCTTTTGAATGATGATGATGCCTGATGGCGAAAAATATCGTCACAGTTTCTGGTTGCCCTCAGTAAAATGGGCAGTTGACTGGAGCTCAATCAGGATGGTGCACATTAACATGTTGATTTACATTTCTTTTGCTAGTTATTAGTCTGTTCCGGTTCCTGTATGTTGGATGTGGTGGACAATGGCCATTAAGTGATTTTGTTCCCTCATTTTCTTTTCTGTTTTTTCTAAAATTTCAAACCTTTTCCCAATGGCACTAGGCCTGGAGTTCTACTCTTTTTGTGGCGAAACTGTTTGCCTAATTTGGCCAAAAACTTTAAAGTGAGTAAGCTATTAAGAACATGGAAAAATGATGAAGTGGATAGGACTCCAAAAGTGTTCTAGACTATTCTGTTGTAGAATCATTGAAGTGTAGTGGGGGATGGGATGAGCTAAATCATTTTCCCCGGAATGTACTAAGGTGTATTAGTCTATCGGAAACAGCCTCTCTGCCCTATCGGGGTAGGGGTAAGGTTTGCGTACACACTACCCTCCCCAGACCCCACTTAGTGGGACTTTACTAGGTCGTTGTTGTTGTTGTACTAAGGTGTATTAATTTTGAGTATTTGCTATGCCAGTAGGGGAAAAAGAGTATTATAAAGAGGTGTAAAATCCTCTTCTTTTGTAGTGCATGATGTTTTTTACGGCTTTAGATCTGCATTTTGATATTTTAGAACATTTTTTCTTTTTTGCAATTTTTTGATATTAATATATTCATTGATGATTGCACAGAAAGCTATTCCTCCTCAATTGAGCTCCGGCCGTCCCCGCCGACCAGAGAGGCNGACTGAATTTCTAGCATTTTTTTCTAATATTAAGTACAGGACACACTGGAGTCTGGACTACCTTAATATGGGGTTCTGGAGAATTAAGATTAAAGTTTGCCCATTCTGCTGGAAGGGTATATACGACTTCCTAACCCTAGTTGGTGCTCCTTTTGAATGATGATGTTGCCTGATGGCGAAAAATATCGTCACAGTTTTTGGTTGCCCTCAGTAAAATGGGCAGTTGACTGGAGCTCAATCAGGACAGTGCGCATTAAGATGTTGATTTACATTTCTTTTGCTAGTTATTAGTCTGTTCCGGTTCCTGTATGTTGGATGTGTTGGACAATGGCCATTAAGTGATTTTGTTCCCTCATTTTCTTTTCTGTTTTTTTCCCCAATTTTTTAAACCTTTTCCTAATGGAAACAAGCCTGGAGTTCTACTCCTTTTGTGACGAAACTGTTTGCCTATTTTGACGAAAATTTTTACAGTAAGCTATTAAGAACATGGAAAAATGATGGAAGTGGATAGGACTCCAAAAGTGTTCTAGACTAATCTTCTGTTGTAGAATCATTGAAGTGTAGTGGGGGATTGGGTGAGGTTAAATCATTTTTCCTGGAATGTACTATGGTGTATTTATTTTGAGTATTTGCTAGGCCAGTAGGAAAAAAGAGTCTATTTTAAAGAGGTGTAAAATCCTCTCCTTTTGTAGTGCATGATGTTTTTTACGGCTTTAGATCTGCATTTTGATATTTTAGAACATTTTTTCTTCTTTGCAATTTTTTGATATTAATATATTCATTGATGATTGCACAGAAAGCTATTCCTCCTCAATCGAGCTCCGGCCGTCCCCGCCGACCTGAGAGGCCATCACCGGACCTTGACCACCACCGCCGACCTGAGAGGCCATCGCCAGACCTTGACCACCACCGCCGACCTGAGAGGCCTTCGCCGGAGCTTGACCACCGCCGCCGACCTGAGAGGCCCTCACCTGACCTTGACTATCACCGTCGGCCTGAGAGGCCATCTCCAGACCGTCGATCGCGAGATCCTGAACTTCCTCGCCCTTCGTCCAAGAGAAAGTATGAAGATTATGATGATCACCATCATGAGGACCGCCATCGCCGTGACCACCATGAGGACCGCCACCACCGTGAGCATGCCCATCGCAGTAGCAGTAGCCACCACCGTTCAAAATCTTCAGCTAGTGTCAAACCATCCTCCACTGGCCCATCCGAGCCACCAGTGGTAGCGCCACTCAAATCCATGGATAAGAAGAAGGTCAGTGTTTTTTCTCGCATCAGTTTCCCAGCTGAAGATGCACCAGCAGCTTCAAAGAAGCGAAAGGTGCCATCCTCCAGTGAAGTGCCAGTGAGTTCCTCGGCGAGCCACCGGGGTACTACATCAAATGGGTATCACGAAGAGTACAAAGCAGCTACTGGATCAAGGAAGAGTGCTGCTGCAAGTGTGGATTATGAGAGCAGCGATGATGATCGGCACTTCAAAAGAAGGCCTTCAAGGTACGAGCCATCTCCACCACCGGCTTCTGAGTGGGAGGAAGAGAAGCAGGAGGGACCTCTTCCTAGGCATAGCAAGGGGTCAAGGGAAAGAGGGTAAACTGGATAGTAGTTTATTGCATTTTGCACTTCTCTGATATGTCAATTCTTTGCATTTTTCACATATCTTATATGTCAATTAGCCAGTTTCTTGAGTTCTTTCCAGTATCTGATATGCAATATTTAGAATCTAATATAGGTGGCAACATTACATTGCTTGCTTTTTTTGTTTCTCATTCTTTTGCCATGGCCTGTAATGGAGTTGATTGTTCATTTGTGCATTATGTGTTACTGTCTTACTTGACTCAAAGATGTGTTATTTACTGTCTGCGGCTTTACTTTTCACGGTTCGTTTATCTAGAACAGATGGTTTAACTATTTAGATAAACTCAAAGAGAATAAAAGCAAAATCATTTAGTTGTGCAAAATGTGGAGATAAATAGTGTACATGATGATGACATGTTTTTCCTTACTAATTTCATTTGGAATTCACATGATGCTATATATCACACACACATGTAGAGAATCCTCCTTTTCTTTTACTTGGTGTGGCACTATAAAACAGATAATTCCATATCAGTGTTTGCTCGCTAGCTCATGATTAGATATTGTCACTTAGTGAGACATTATGGCACTATCAGGAAAGACAAATTGATTTTTCAATGTTCATGTACACAAGATAGATCTCTCTTTCATGGTGTATTTGTGAGCAGCGATGCAAATCACTTGTCTGACAGGTGGGGCATGAGTGAAGCAGAATATGTGCCCTTCTTTTAGCTTCTTCTGGTGGGTGTGTTGGTGATGTTTTATGGATAGTTACTGAGAATCTTGTTTGTCATATGGATACAAAAAGAATTTTGTTAGTTGTGAGCACTGGAAACCTCACCTCTTTCGTTGGCACCACACCCTCCCCCTTTCTTATGATGTTAATAGAAAATTGGTTGTTTTAGCTGGCAGCAATGGTGACCTTCAAAAGAATTCACTTGCATCCTTTCTAGTTTCAGCTGTCGGCCAGTCCCAACATTCTTACAAAAGTGTCCTGAGAATGCCACTTAGAAAATTGATGCAAACTTTCTCATATTGTATCCTGCATTTAGAAATCAATGTTGATGCTCGGCTTTTATTCTTTTGTTCTGTTTTTTTCAAATCTTCCTATGGCTTTTTCATTTGAACTGCCTATGGACTTCCTTTTTGGTGCTTCAATGTAGCCTCGTCATTGAGTATATATATCTTTTTGCCATTCCTGTGTTACCATCACAATGATCTCATGGATCCTTTCTCGACAAATGTCTTAACTCGTTGGTTCTTGATGCAGATTGAGATAATATATGACAACGAAGAGTTTGAATTGGAATGACTCTTGCATGGAATACAAATACAGGTGGAGAATTATTTATATGTTTGCAGCTCGGTTGTTCTGTTAGGAAATGCAAGTAATTTCACTTCACACGCATCGTCTTATGTGTGTCTGTTTCTCATCATAAATTCTCAACAGTGCAATGAAAACATAATCATTTTCTTGTGTTTGAAGAGAATTTGTGAAGCTCATTGTATCTGGTCATCAGAATGTTTGTATTCACAATCTTTTGTCTGAGTTGCATTTTATTTAATTGGTGCAGATTCAGAAGGTGCAGGCTCTTTTGCGAACATCTAAATCTGGATCTCCTCTTCTGGGTGATCCCATCTGCTTCGCAAACTTCTCAGTGCAAAACTGATACTGACTTTTTGTTCGATGCTCAAGAAATGGGTTCGATGCTCAAGAAATGGGTTCGATGCTCAAGAAATGGGAAACGGCACAGTGCAAGATTACTGAAAATTTAGATTCTTATCCAAAATTTATATTATCTAATGATCCATATAGTTGTGAACTGCGAACGCAAATATTTCAAAATAAGATCGTGGGCTCTCCCTTATTTTGCAATTTTTATAGATTGTTTGAGAATTATGTGGCATTGCAATTTTGATATATTTTAATATTGGTGGTTATGGCTTCTTTTATTTGTTTGGACAATATTCGCATTACAATCTTATGTTTCCTCACTATTTCAAAGTTTGTTGGATGGATAAAATGCATTTTTATTTCCTATAGGTTTACTAGTGCTCTTTTAGGAAAAGATGGAGAGTAATTTTGGTCAAACCCCTTTCACAGTGCTATTAAATTATCATCTTAATGAATGTGTCAATTTTAAATGAAAAATTAAAAAAAAAAAAACTGAAAGGAGGCATTATGTATAAATTAATTATCCATTTTGAAATCAATATGAACGTAAACAACTGGTTATCTGGTCTTGATCAAAGAGTACGCGTAAACCTTTCGTGTATCTTTAGGAGAAACCATCATATTTCATTTATTGTAAATAAAACTCAAAAGTTTATTCATGAAAGTACGCAACTTATAAAACTACAAGACATATCTGTTCGCTATTAAAAGGAAGGGGGAGGTCCAGTGACCGATATTTATTTATTGGTAATTAAAGACCTGTTGTTGTACATTGACACCTCAACATTTAATTTCTAATCGCAGAACATTAACTTTGTAATTAAAAGTGGGTGCAGAAGCCAAATCAAGAAATAATAAATCATAGAGGCAGAGACATAATTGCGTTATAGTTTCTTATAGGAAATTATATTTATATAAAAAAATTAAAATACGTAGGTGAAATTAATGGTTAATCAGTGGTATCTGAAACTATGAAAACAAGTCACTCCCAGATTCAGAGTTTAAAATACTTTCTAGTGTCAGATAACTCATTCATGGCACTGTCTCCTGCTTAAATTTCTAACATTAAAACCTTTTATTTATTTTTTTCTAAAGAAATTCAGAATTCTAATTGTATCTAAATATTAATTTATTTTGAGCTGTATGAGATGTATATTATTCATCAAACTTCAACAAATTGTACATTCAAAAAGTGAAATACAACACTAAAACATTAGTACTTTGCTCTAATGATCCAGAATAAGGGAAATTAAACAGCATCCTGATGGAGAATTGCTCGAAATGTTTTGACAATTCAATGTATCACACTCATATATTGGTGCTGAATTAAATTTAGGTGCTAATGACTAAACGAAGTTAATCGAACAACTATTAGGTTAACATTGAATTACTCATTATGTTACATATAATTGATTAATACCAAACTAGCTCGCTCAAATCCATGCATTTCTTTCCACAGTGACCTTTACCTAATATTATATTGCATAGAAAGTTTTAGTAATTTTAGATGATTTACCTAATTTTTTGAGCAGTAGTTGTGAGATTTTCTTCAATAATTAAGTATTTATTCTGTCATCTAAATATCCTTTGGGTTTTTTCATATATTTTTTTCTAACATTGAAGAGACCTTGATCAAGCAACAACTAGCACTTACGATTATTAGCTGATTTTACTTTTTTGTCTGCTAGAATAATTCTAAATTCGAACATTGTAATTAGATTCATTTAAGTCATCTGAACATTGTTTTTGGCTTAGTGGTCAACTACTATTTTCAAATGGCTTGAATGAATTTAAACCATTCAAATTTATGGTCATTAGGTAACAAGAGAAATTTGAATTACGGCTTCTTAGTACATATTTTGGTAATAATTAGTTTTCTATCACTTCTTGCTGGATATGTTGGTGTATTATTGATGTTGGGCTATAATTTCATATCTTTTGACGTTATTTACCCTTGTTTGTTGTATTGATGCTAATTTATGCGATATTTGAGCTTAATTGAGTTATTTTACATGTAGGGACACATGGATATAAACTGGAGAAAAGTTATGCGAAATAGTACCTAGAAGCTACAAAATAGGGCACAAAAAGGAAACTTTGCAAGGCCACGAAAGCTCACAGCTTTAGACAGTGCAAGGCACTGCCCAACGTGCCAAAGTTGATGCCTCTGATGGCGCAAGGCATGATAGTTTTGGCGCCTCTAAAGGCATCTTGCACTGTAGTTTTGGCGCCCTTAATGATGCCCCCACGCTAACGATGTCTATCCGAGCCACTTTTGTTTGGACGTGGGTGCTTTAACCTTACCAAAACTTAGTTTTTAGAGGAGGGAGACATGATTAGAGAGGCAAAAGTCTATGGAACACTTGGAAGCAACGAATCACAAGAGTTTTTCTCTCCATTTTTTAATTTGTAGTTTAATGCTTTTGAATATTATTATGATTGTTTAAACAATTATGAGTAGCTAAACTCTTTTATCTAAGATTTGATGGAACCTATTGGAGGATGAATTTCTATTGCGTTTAATATAAATTTGTCATTGACTTTTCTCTACTTGTTCAACTACGTTTTTATTGTTGTTGATTAAAGGGCCTCAATTGACTGGACCTATTTAGTGTGTATTGCTGGAAAAAGGATACACATTTAGATAGTTGTTGAAGAACATCACTCTTAACGTATGTGAGGAATCAATACAGAGGCGTTTAAAGGTGGGATTAGGAATAACGAAATCTTGGTGTGATCTTGGTGAGCGGTGAACTAGTGTCAGCTAGCGTAATTCAGAAGAATAAGTCTAGTAAATTGTGGTAGTTGCTCGGAAGAGAATTACGACACCCGAAGTACTCACGATCACTAGAGAATACTTAGGCGAAATTATACGAGATTTAGCGGGAAGGATTCCGAAAATTGAAAAAATCATAACTCTGGGCCTCCTTAATTTTGTCTCCAACTCTATCCTCCTTAGTTAATAATTTTTACTGCTTTTAATAGTTGTTAGTTAATTAGTTAAAAATATAAATCTTATCCTTTATAACTTAAGAATTGTTCGAGCTAGTGTTTCTTAGCAATATTGAATATTATGTGAGATTCAACTCCGGACTCTTAGACCGGATTATATTTGCAGCGACCGTTAGACTTTTTAGGAGGCGTAGTTGGGGGTAATCAATTATTACTGGACCACCTATATATTTAAATTAATTGGACACGATTACTGTAAACTTTACTTTGCAATGCAAATAGTACTAATACTTTAGACATATTTTTACTACTTTTTCTAATTGTTTGCAAGTCATATTGAAGTTTCCCAACTCACATATTTCTCCAAAGATTACAAAGAAGGTTGACTTTTTCTCACTTGAAAAAAAAAATCTTTTTCACATTTGGGGGATCTTGTCTGTAGCAAATTCTAAGACGAAAATAGGAGGATCTTGAAAAATGGTGATAAAATTGAAAGAAGAAGAAGATGATAATATTGGTGAAGAACTGTCTAAATATAGCATGCAAAATCCCGTTATTAATGTCATGGTCATCTGTTGTTTGCCACCTGGATCAATAGTTTCCATAAATAGAATTATTAGATGCCCATATTAACAATTTTATTTAATCTTTACCTAATTCTCCTTTTATTTAATTTTTGCGTCTTTTTATTTTTGTTCCTTTTCTTGCTTTAACTTGGGAGTTGGGTGGTTAAAATGCTCTTAATTGCTAGTGTGAACTTCTCCATTAAATCTAGGGCGGTACAACATGTACAATTTAAGTGTAAGTACATAATGAACCAAGTGATATAAAATAAAATATAATTATCATTTGTTGTTTAATTAGACGTCAGAAACATTACTGTGTTTTGAGTGCTACATAATTCTTGAATTCTTAAATCATTCTAGGTGCATAGCAAATTTTTTCCTTTTTTTTTTTGCATTTATCAACTGACATCCTTAAATCGGTTACACTGGAGCCAAATAAATGCAACACTATAGTATACTATGGCTTCTAATTGTCACGATCCGGATTTCCCACTCTCGGGAGTCGTGATGGCGCCTACTCATAGAAGCTAGGCAAGCCAGGAAAATTTGAAAATCTTTAACTACTTTATTTTAAGCCTTTTAACAACTTGCATTAACCGGTGATAAATATTTAAATAATAGCGGAAGATGAAAGTAAACGGAAGACTTAGATGAATATAATACCAAAATCGATACGAAAAGCCAACATATGTCTCAACCCAGAAACCGGTGTCACAACATTCACGGACCGTCTATAACTACTACATACAAGTGTCTGAAGGAAAGAAACACAGTCTGTCTCGGATACAAGTGATAACACAGAACATAATAATAGATAGAAGAGACGCCGGGCCTGCGAAGGCCTACAGGACTACCTCGAAATCTCTGTGGACTGAAGGCTGGCTCCCAAGCTACTGACCCTATGCTGCTCCGGTATCTGCACAGAGTGCAGAGTGTAGCATCAGCACAACCGACCCCATGTGCTAGTAAGTGTTTGGCCTAACCTCGACGAGGTAGTGACGAGGCTAAGACCGGACTCCAGATAAACCTGTGCAATTATATAACATATGGCGAAAAATAAATAGGAATAAACAGTTTCAATGGGAGGGGGTACATGCTTCGGGGAATATATCAAATCCAACAACAACTTAATAAGATATGAAAGGACAATTCAATATCTACAACAATACAATAACAATACTGTTGCAGCGCGCAACCCAAACCCTTATCATTTAATATTGTTGCGGTGTGCAACCCGATCCACATATATAACTGTTGCGGCGTGCAACCCGATCCACATATATAACTATTGCGGCGTGCAACCCGATCCAATATAATATCTATTGCAGCGTGTAAACCGATCCATAAATATATATAATAATGTTGCGGCGCGCAACCCGATCCATATATAATAAAAGTGTTGCGGCGCGCAACCCGTCCCAAATATACAGTCAACAGTGATCATAATAACAGTCCCGGTAAGGGGTCAACAATAAACTACACTATCCCGGCAAGGAAATTCAACAGTACAAGTATATACGTCCCGGCAAGGGAGAATCAGTTATAACCAATCTTAACTCAACTCCTACTCATCTCAATTATCACCATTTCTCAACCATAAGTATCTTCCACGAAAATAAACTTAAGTCTTTACTCATTATCAAGAATGCACCCACTATAGTATTCGTAGTATCATTTAAGAATACAACAAGTATCAATTTAGGAGTCACAGTCATGCTCGACACCAACGTATAGATACTCGTCACCATGCATATACGTCG